GCACGTGTGCGTGCGTGCCCAAGATCCCGAGAGGAGAATGGAGGAGAAGGGATTGCGGCGTGACCATCCCCCCTGGGGGGTGATTTCTCGCTTTCTGTCTCTATGTCTCTGTCTGGCGAGCACATGCGCCCTATAGCAAAAATCTCTCAAAAACAAACAAACAAACAAACAAAAAAACAAAAAAACTAAGAGAAGTAGGTAACAGAAATAAAACACTTCTATCTGTGAAAATTAAAATTGCATATACAGGGGCAGGCAGGCCGCGTGGCAGTTGTGGCGCTGGACTCCCACATGGCTGGTTGCGGTCAGTGTCCCAGACCTGGCAGTTGGCTTTCTTGCTTTCTCTTTCTCTCTCTGGTGAGTCCACATGCCCTATAGCACATTTTTAAAAATACTAATAAATAAAAAAATTGAATAATTCTTAAGAAATACAATATACACATAATGACGACGACATACACTTTACAGTAACGCGCACAAATGAAACAGCTAGAATTGCCATCATAGATGGGGAAAGGAAAAGCAGGTTTTTTCCATTGTCAGAGGGAATGGACGTTCACAAGAGAGGGAGGGAGACAGAGATAGAAGGAGAGGGAGCGAGAGAGAGAGAGAGAAAGAAAGCACCCCCATAACGGGATGCGGTCATGCCACAATCTCTCTTCCTTCATTTTTATATCCTACCAGGACATTAGGCATGCACACACATACACTTGGCATGTTCTTCAAGCCACTGGGACTAGGACTTAAAGTACGGCTGGCCATGTGGAATCTGGCTCCTTCAACTGCTGCACTATAGAACCAGCCTGAGAACAAATTTTTTTTTTTTTTTGAGAGGTTTTTGCTATAGGGCACGTGTGCTGACCAGAAAGAGAGAGACAGAAAGCAAGAAATCACCCCCCAGAGGGGATGGCCATGCCCCAATCCCTTTTTCTCCATTCTCCTCTTGGGATCTTGGGCACACGCGCACACGCGCCTGGTGTGAGTTTTAAGCCACCAGGTCTGGGACTCGAATTGTGGTTGACTATATGGGAGCCCAGATACATAGCCATTACACTAACTGCTGGTCCTGAGAACAAATTTTTAAAATTATTTTTATTGAACTTAATTTTTATTTATTTATTTTTATTTATTTATTTTTAATTTGACTAGAGAGGGATAGAATGTGAGAGAGAGAGAGAGGGAAAGCGAGAAAGCAAGCCACCAGGTCTGGGACTCAAACTGCGGTCAGCCACACATGAATCCCGTGCCCTTAACCACCATGTCACCTGCTGGTTCCATCCTGAGAACAAATTTTTAAAAATACATAAATATATAAATAAAAGAGAGAAGGCTCTAGAACCGAGATAGGATGGCATGCATTTAAGTCTAGAGTCTGCTCCTCAGGAGGGGAGGGCAAGTCATTTAGCCCTTTGGGGTCAGGTTTCCCTCATCTCAAAATGGAGACAAAGATGTCTCTCTGGAGGAGTTCCGGAGGGAAAGTGTTGACGTGTATGAGGGAATCATAAAAACAACTCACCCAATGCTTCTGTTCGGGAGTTTGTTGAACACTTTGATGGCCACTGGAGCCTTGTGATACTCTCCTTTATAAAGTGTGCTGAATGCGTTTTCTCTTAGCAGCCTCCATGGGGCTCCTGAAAGGTCCTCCTTCTTAATCTCCTTGATTTTAACTTGGAGGACCTCCTGCCTGGATTTTGGTAGTGAGTTTAACTTGAGCCCTAGGACAAAAGGAGATAAGAGTCAATGAGCTAAGGAAGGTGTTTTTATTTTTTTAAAGAATTATTTAATCTTATTCATTGTCATAATTTTATTTTATGTTTATTTTATTGAAGTTGACCAGAGAGAGACAGAAAGAGAAGGAAAGTGAGAAAGCAAGCTCCCAGGTCGGGGACTCGAACCATGATAAGCCATGTGGGGAGTCCAACACTTCAACCACCACGCCACCTGCCAGCCTCAAGATGTCTTTATTTTTTTGTAAATAATTTTATTTATTTCTCATCATTCTGTGGGCTGACAGACTAAGCTGACAGTTCTTTTTCTTTTTTTCATTTTGCTATACGTTGCGTAGATTTGTAGGGGTGGTGGGGGAGGGAGAGGGCAGAGAAACAGAGAGAGCACCCTCCCAGGGAGCCAGCCACTCTGCAGTCTCTTCCCTATTCTCTCAGGATGCATGCACACACACACCCAGTGTTTTCTAAGCCACCAGGTCCAGGACTTGAACTGTGCAGTTGGTCATGTGGGGATCCAGCTGTGTTAATCATGTCACCTGGCTGGCCCAAGAAGCTTCCTTAAGGAAAGTGGCTTCTTGGTGACATGTGGGTGGGAAGCTCTACACCATGAAGCAGAGCTGGCCTCACTTGCAGCTTCTGAATGACCCAATGCAGGAGGGCGTTTCTGATGCCTTTGGGTGACCGGTCACAACACAGTGGACGGTTAGTGGGAATACGGCCCACTCAGCCTTTCCCTCCTCTTCAAATCCTGCCTGTCTCTCTAGCCTTAAGCCCATCAGGACCTAGCTCTCTCATCTTGGAGCGCCCCCTCCTCCTACTGCCACAGCTTGGCACTTAGGTGCCTAGCGTCTTGCCTGGTCATGTCAGATCTAGTACTTAAAGCCGTAGTTCAAGCTCCGCTCAGTAACTTCATGGCTGTCATGTGTCCATGTCTCCCTCCCTAAGGTCATGAGCTACCAGAAAGCAACATCCTCCCTGTGCCTTAGCTCCCCCTGTGCTCAACCTTTGGCATAAAGCAGCTACTCACAGTTTTGTTGAATGAATGAGTGAATGAATGAGAGCATTTTAAATTTAATTTGAATTATTCCTTGTAGCTTTGAGGCTGCTCACAAAGGCTTTTTGTTGCTTTATTTTCCTACAGGGCATGTGTGTTCACAGGAGCAACAGAGAGAGGGAAAGTGAGAAGTCACCCCCCTGTTGGGGTGGACATGCCACAATCCCTTCTCATTCTTCTCCTGGGATTTTGGGCATGCACACACACGTGTTGGCATGTTTTTCAAGCCACCAGGTCCATGATTTGAACCGTGGCCAGTCAGGTGGGAGTCCAGTGCCTTAAACACCATGTCACCTGCTGGCTCCCTTATAGGATGATTTTTGTTTTGTTTTGTTTTGTTTTAGGAGAGGTTTTTATTTACTACAGGGTGCGTGCGCTTGCCAGAAAGACAACAGAGACAGAGAGACAGAAAGTAAATCATCCTCCTAGGGGGATGGCCATGCCACAATCCTTTCTCCTCTATTCTCCTCTTGGGATCTTGGGCATGCAAGCACATGTGCCAGGTATGAGTTTAAGACCCTGAGTCCAGGACTCGAACCGTGTTCGACTACATGGGAGTCCAGAGACATCACCATTACACCAACTGCTGGTCCCCCATATAGGATGTTTCTAGCGCTAGGACAAGTGCTAGAAGATATTTTGCTGGTCAAGAAGTCCCCTTCACAAAACCAGCAGATGGCATAATGATTATATCACTGGATTCACATTTAGTCAACAGCGGTTTTAGTCCTGAACCCAGTGGCTTAAAACTCAGCCGTGTGCATGAGCTTGTCTGCCCAAAATCCCTAGAGGAGAATGGAGGAGTGACTGCAGCATGGTCATCCTCCCAGGGGGTGACTTCTTGTTCTAAAAAAAAAAAAAAAAAAAAAGTCCCCTTCAAATGCTACTTCATGGACAAAAACCTGGGTTGGCCACAAGTGCATCCAAACCCGCATGCTGCTTCCCGTCATCAGCACAGAAAATAAACAGAGGGCAGAGGCAGGGGCTGGGGGAGGCTAGTGATCCTAGGAAATCGACGGCTTCTAGTTCCAGGGCAACGGGAGCAGCAGGGCATGTGCTAACTTACACGCTCTCAAGGCTTCCTTGATTTCATTTGTGTTGACTTCCAATTGCCTCAACAAAGCTTTTATGTTATTTTCTGCAAGAAAAAAGGGCAACAGGTATATAATACAGAATCAAATCAATTAATGAAAACTAAATGCTAAGTAAAACCAAAATGCTGATTAAAACTACCAAGAGAATTTTTTTACCTATTATATTAATCATGGTAGGATTTGCTACTATTCACCAATATTCAGTTTTCTACTTATTTATTTAAATTGTTCGTTATAGGGCACATGTGCTCATCAGAAAGAAACAGAGAGAGAGAGGGAGAAGGAAAGTGAGAAACCAAGCCATATATCTGGGACTTGAACCACAGTTGAGCATGTGGGAGTCCAGAGCCTTAATCACCACGCCACCACCTGTTGGCTCCCTTCTGTTTATTTCTTTTCTTTCTTTCTCATTGTTCTTTTTTATTTGTTTTTTTTTTTTTTTTTTTTTTTAAGAGTTTTTGCTATAGGGGATCTGTGCTTGCCAGAGAGAGATAGAGAGAGGGAAAGTGAGAAATCACCCTCCAGGGAGGATGGTCACAGTGCAATCCCTTCTCCTCTTGGGATTTTGGGTATGCACACACATGTGCCTGGTGTGATTTTCCTCTTTCTTTTATTATTTTTTCTTTTCTTTTTTTTTTTTTTTTTTTGTTATAAGGTACATACACTCACCAAAAAGACAGAGATACAGAAAGCAAGAATTCATGCCCCTGGGGGGGGGGGTGGGGGGGGGATTGGCCATGCCTCAATCCCTTATCCTCCATTCTCCTCTCAGGATCTTGGGCATGCACACACATGCACCTGGTGTGAGTTTAAGCCACCTGCTCCAGGACTCGAACTGCAGTTGACTACATGGGAGTCCAGTGACGTAGCTATTACGCTACCTGTGTAATTTTGGCAGATTTTCAAGCTGTCAAGTCCGGGACTCAAATTGCTGTCAACCATGTGGGAATCCAGCACCTTAACCACTATGCTACCTCCTGTCCTATTTTTTTTTAAAGTTCTTAAATTTTTGATTTGCAAGAGGGCACGTGTGCTTGCCAGAGAGACAGAGATAGGAAGAGAGAGAAAGCACCCTCCCAAAGGGGTGTGGTCACAGCTCAATCCCTTTCTCTCCATTTCTTTCTTTTTTTTTTTTTTCAGAGGTTTTTGCTATAGGGCGCGTGTGCTCGCCAGACAGACAGAGAGAGACAGAGAGACAGAAAGCGAGAAATCACCCCCAGGGGGGATGGTCACACCGCAATCCCTTCTCCTCCATTCTCCTCTCGGGATCTTGGGCACGCACGCACATGCGCCCAGTGTGAGTTCTAAGCCACCGGGTCCGGGATGCGAACCACGGTCGACTACATGGAAACCCAGCGACATAGCCATTACGCTAACTGCTGGTTCCCCCTTTCTCTCCATTTCTCCCTCTTGTTGGGATTTGGGGCATGTACGCACACGCGCCTGGCCTGTCGTTCAAGCTGTCAGGGCCAGGATTCAAATTTTTCAGTTGGCTTATGTGATCCAGCTCCATTTACCGCTAGGCCTTGGGGCCTGCCTGCCCTCGGCTTTCTGCCACTGAGCATGCAGGAAATCCTTGAAGCATGGCCATATGACTTGCTGTGGCCAAGAAATAATGGAAAGAGATGAGTGTTCCTCCCCAGGGGAAATCAGGTCATTATCTCCGTCACAATCCCTTCCCCTCCATTTCTCCATCCTGTCGGGATTCTGGGCATGCACACACATCCCCAAAACCAACCCAATCCAACTTACCATTTGGGAAGTTTTGTCTGTCTTTCTCTGCATCCTCCTGGTCTTCCTGTAGCCAGGATGCTCCATAGCTAATCGTTGAAACTGACAGATGAAGATGAACTTGAAGGAGCAGTGAGAGCTGCTCCCAGACATCACTCAGGTTCTTGTTCACGTCCTTGAAGAGTATTTTGTTTTGGCCTGCAGCTATAAACTTCCAGACACTGGATTTACTGCTAAACTTGTCTACCTGCCTCTGAGTCTCCTTCAGCACAGCATGGAAACGGTCCAGGGCGGCAGTTATCTCCTTGGGCAGATTCTGCTCTCCCCGGGCTTGGAGCATCTGCAGAGGTGACAGCAGGCCGCGGACACGACTCCCCAGGCGCTGGCACTGTGTCTGGCAGTAATTCATCTTTTCACACTGTGTGTAGATGAGCTGGCCTAAGGAGATGATCTGCCCCAATATATTCATACCTGGAAGAAATGGGGAGAATTTGTCTGAGTGCCCAAATCTCCTGCACAGTTACTACTACGCTATAAGAGAGTCAAGAATGTTGGTGACTCGGATGCCTGAAGACAGCCTGCCTTCGCAGGTTTGAATGCGTATCCAGAGGGCATGTGTGGGGACCAGCAGTTAGTGTAATGGCTATGTTGCTGGACTCCCATGTAGTCGACTGCGGTTCGAGTCCCGGACCCGGTGGCTTAAATTCACGCCAGGCGTGTGTGTGTGCATGCCCAAGATCCTGAGAGGAGAATGGAGAAGGGATTGCGGCGTGGCCATCCCTCCTGGGGGGTGATTTCTCACTTTCTATCTCTCTGTCTCTCTCTCTCTGTCTGGCGAGCGCATGCGTCCTATAGCAAAAACCTTCCCCCCTCCCCCCAAAAAAAGCCAGAAGGCATGTGTGCTTGCCAGAATGCTCTGGTCTGCATGCACCCCCAGAAGCTCAGGCACTGAGACTTGGTGAGCCATCCCATCAGTGTGGAGAAGGGGGAGACTTATCTGAGTATGACGGTGAAGGTGTTGGCACAGTAGTAACACAACCAGAACCACATGAAAAGGTCCTGGGTTTGCTTCCCGGACTTCTCTGTGCATGGACAGGTGGACCACATGTGGAAATCTTGTTGGGGCTACCTGTCTCTCTCTGTCTCCTAGTTCTCCCTAGTCGACTACATGGGAGTCCAGCGACACAGCCATCATGCCAACTGCTGGTCCCAAACCTCGATTCTTTTTTAAAGAGAGGTTTTTGCTATTGGGCGCATGTGCTCACAAGAGACAGACAGAAAGTGAGAAATCATCCCCCAGGGGTATGGCCATGCTGCTATCCCTTTTGCTCTGTTCTCCTCTGAGGATTCTGGGCACACACACACATGCGCCCAGTGTGAGCTTAAGACATCGAGTCTGGCACTCAACTCGAATCACGGTCGACTACATGGGAGTCCAGTGATGTTACCATTATGCCATCTGCTGGTCCCAACCTCAATTCTTTATAAATTACCCCATGCGATAATCCGTTGAGTGACAGAAAAGCAGAGAAACAAGAAAAGGTGGAGGTGGCTCACTGCCCACCAAGTCTGCTCTGCCCTCCCATAACAACAGAGTTGTGGAAGGCAGTGTCAGTCAGCTGAGGTTGTATCTCCCAGCATCCCTTGTAGCCAGGTGTGGCCATGTGACTAGTCCTCACCAATGGGGTGTGAGTGGATATGCCGTGTGCTACTTCTGGCCGAGGCACATTTGCTTCACCTACACTCTCTCTCCCTTTGCAGCTGGATGTGAGGATGATGAGGCCCTGAGGATGGTGGAGTCGCAAGAAAGGAGGATCCTGGGTTCCTGAGTCATCGTGTGGAGGAGAGCTGCCCACAGACCTGGAACATCTACCATGGACTGTGAGGTAAGCAAGGAATATAGTCCTATTGTGTGTGAGCCATTATATTTTGGGATCTTGGTACATCCATTTAGCCTAGTTTAACACATATATCCTCTCAAAGAATAATGGTTGCTGGGGTCAACACGTGGCATGGTGGTTATGGTGCTGGAGTCCCACATGGCCAGCTATGGTTTGAGTCCTGGGCCTGGTAACTTGCTTTCTCACTTTCCCTCTCCCTGGTGAGCACATGTGCACTCTAGCACATTGAAAAGTAATAATGATAATAAATACATAAATCTTTTTTTTTTTTTTGAGAGATATTTTTTGCTATAGGGCACGTGGACTCACCACAGACAGAGAGAGACAGAAAGTGAGAAATCACCCCTCAGGGGGAAATCACACCTCAGTCCCTTCTCCTCCAGTCTCCTCTCGAGATATTTTGGGCATGCACATACACACACGCCTGGTATGATTTTAAGCCCCTGGGTCCAGGACTCAAATAGCGGTTGGCTATGTGGGAGTCCAGTGATGTAACCATTGCACCATCTTCTGGTCTTAAATACTTAATTCTTTTTTAAAAAAACTATTTTAACTTTATTTATTTCAATTTGATGAGAGAGAGAGAGAGAGAGAGAGAGAGAGAGAGAGAGAGAAAGCAAGCTGCCAGGTCCAGGACTCACCCTCAACCACCGTGCTACCTGCCTGCCCCTTAAATACATAATTCTTAAAAAAAAGAATAGCGGTTACCTTCAGGTGACCAGATCAGCCAGGTAACTCAAATGACATGAGCTGGGAAAGGAGGCATGGTCTGTAGTGTCATAAGGAAAGATGCTTCCGTTTTTCTAGAAATGTGTGGATTTTCTAGTTCTATTTTATCTTCACTTTTGACAAAGGGAAGAGTACAAAAACTTTACTTTCTTTGTATAGTCCTACAGGAAAAAGGCTGGGCTCATGTAATGGGAAAGTTAACTGACCCCGGGTGTCATCCTCAGGGGACCAGAGAGAGGATGGTGGCTTGGAAAGCTCCTTCCCTAACTAAAGAAGGCAGGGCCTACCCAGCAAGCTACCACCTGTTGCTCTCCAAGGATCAAAGGCCCAGGGGTAGAAGATCTTCCTGTTATTCATGAGCGCCTAGAAAGCCGGATTTCTTTTTAAAGAATTGTTTTATTTAAGTTTATTTATTTTGATTTGACCAGAGATGGACAGTGAAAGAGAGAGAGAGAAAGTGAGGAAGCAAGTCACTAGGTCTGAGAATAGAACTGTGGTTGGCCATGTGGGAGTCCAGCACCCTTAACCATCCCGCCACCTGCAGGCCTCGAAATGTGGACTGTTAAGTCAAATCTCTTGATGTGACTTGCAATCAAGTAAAATGATGTTTTAAAAACTGTAGCCCTAGCCAGCTGGTGGTGTGGTGGCTAAGGCACTGGACTCCCATATGGCCAACTGTAGTTCAAGTCCCAGACCTGGTGGCTTGCTTTTTCACTTTCCCTCTCTGTCTCTTTCTGGTGTGTACATGTGCCCTATAGCAAAGAAAGAGAGAGAGAGAGAAAGAAAGAGAGAAAGAGAGAGAGAGAAAGAAAGAGAGAAAGAGAGAGAGAGAAAGAAAGAGAGAAAGAGAGAGAGAGAAAGAAAGAGAGAAAGAGAGAGAGAGAAAGAAAGAGAGA